GGCTTACCCAGCATACGGGTAATTAATTATTTTTATATCTATACCCCAACGATTTTACCACGGCCTTGTTTAGATTTGATAATTCCAATTTTTTCACTCTCTCCAAGGCCCCAATTTTAATCCAAGGACCGGTGAGCGTTAAATGTAAGAAAAAAAAACATTGGAACGGTCAAAAAAGCTTGCAGGGGGAATCAGGCTTGCCTAGGCTAGGCACCAGAGTGCAGAGCTGGCCCCTTTGGCTTACCCAGCATACGGGTGTTCAGGGATTCAGGCTCTCGTCCACGGCCTCAACGGCAACAACCACGCCAGAACTCAGAACCCAACAGTGTATTTGCCACCGGTGCATCATGTCCCAGAAATCCAAGCGTCCATAACGGCCACTTGTTCCCCGAACAAGGTGGTTTAGCTGAACAGGTCAGAAGATAAACGAGGGTAAGAACACAGCTACACGTTTTACTGAACTGAAGGCATCCGCATAAAACATATCCTAAGTTTGCATTTTGTGCAGGGAATTCAGCTTGAAGCCATTTCCTATCTAGCTCTAATGTTGCTCATTTCAAGGAGGTAAACGTCTTTCGTGTTTTTTTTTAAGGAATCAGGAGGAGCGAGGGGCTCCAACTGCAAATATATTAAAATAAAACACAGAGTACAAGAGAGTAAAACAAATACAAACAGAAGAAGAAAGCAAGCAGAGGAAAAACGTCTTTCGTGTTGCGCATTTCATTTTTCTTTTCTTATTTCAAGCAGATACAAGTGGCAGCAAAGTTAATCCGTTTAAAGGCGCCGACAGTAAATGTCATATGCACGCGGGGGGGGGGGGGGTAATAAAATGAAAAATTGATAACATATAGAAGAACATTTATAAAAAATATTATAATGGGCGTTAGTCCATAATTTTAAAAACAGAAATGATCTATATTTATAGGTACCGGTAACCAGAACTCCATTATAGTGGGGCCAATAATTCCACCAGCCATCAAGTCCTCGTACTTTCCAGCACTATATCCATACTTCAAGTCGCCACTGGCAGAACCCCCTGATTGCAAAGATATTTCTCAGATCTTATATGCACCAGGGCCATCAAGTCCTCCCAAATTTTTTTCCAGCACTTTATATCCATACTTTAAATGTCGCCAATTACTGGCAGAAATCCTGATTGCAAAGATATTTCTCAGATCTTATATGCACAAGCTGCAAAACCCATCAACGAGAAGGTATTCGAACCTTATCAATGCTAAGTTGGTAGCGCATCAACTGCCGTTAACGCAAGCATCTTATTTGAAATCAGTTTAAGCAGATAGCTCAGAGCCTCTTGAAATCTCAATCCCAACCTACAGAAGGAAATATGATTTGTTAGTTGACCAACACGCATTTACAGTATTTCACTATTTGGTGGCTGCAAACATTACTTAAACCTAAAGATAAACATGAACTGGTAAAATAATAGCTTTGATGAGTTTAGACATGATGACTCCCTTCTCCTACCTTCTGCTTATCATTCTCAAGAGATTCAACAGCTGCCAGCCTCAAAAGAGTAGAGCCATCATCAATGTCAATCCCCTCTGCAACAGCTGCCTAACAAGAAAGCAAGTAGCAAATCAGCAACAGGAATTACTATATGCAAACAAAGCTGCTTAAATAGTTAATACATTGCTACAGCACATCAGGCCCCAGAAACTGAAAGCACAGCAAGTATGGCGGTTGAAGATGCCTTTTTTTTTTGGGGGGCATCCAGAGTATCTTCTTCCTTCCATCTATTTTCTGTCAGCCTAGTTAGTTCCTTCCTTCTTTGTAATCGATAGCTACAGAAAAAGGATAGTGTGATAAACTAGCATCCTGAACCAGACATGACCGAATACAGCAAGTCCTGCTCAACTACTGTTTCTCATATTCCACCTCAGCAGCATGAAGAGTAAGGTTAACATAAACTTTTTATCAAGACATTCTTATCCTAGAGACAAACACAACAAAGAGGCCAAAACTTTATTTTCAAATAAAGATTCCTTCGTCAAAAAAACACAGCAAAGAGGATCAGAAAATGAGATATAGACACTCAAGCAAGGGCAAACAACCAAAAGAATTGGATGACAGAACTCTGTCTTTGCCCTCAAAACAGAACTCTGTCTCAACAATGCTAAAAAAAAGAATCGAGTAAGTTCACATTGTAGAACATATCAAACTGGAGCTATGGAAAACCACAACATGCAGGTCACGAGATAAATATCAAGCAAATCATGCATTGATTGATTTCCTGATCTGCATGGCCCTTTTATTCACTTCTTCATGTTTGCTACCATCACCTGCTGTTTTATTATATATTCGGGAAGGATAACTCTTGCGAGTTGTTTGTTCCTACACTTTATCTAGGATTCTAGGCATAACCTGACTTCTGCTCTCATGACAGTGGTTGTACAAGTAATGAGTTTAAAGGTTAGGAGATTATCACCATTGCACTTTTCACATTATATATAAAATGAAAATCATACAGTTCCCAGTCAGAGTAGGTATCATACTGTTGTGCTGTTGAAATCAGAAACCTTGTTCTGTGGTGTTGAAGTGATTACTACAGAAACAAAGCCAAACGATAGGCATGCAGAAATCTCTTTAAGAGCAGAGCATATATATACAGAACATATTTTTTTTAGTTCACACTCTTGAGCTTTCTATGTTTCTCTATAATAACTATCTGCACCAGATTGCCTCTAACAGCAACTACCAAACCACCTGAAAAAAGAAAGGTTTTGTTTCTCTTTTATACCTATAGATGATACAAATAATGTATTGTCTTTTACCCCAAAACCAATCATCTCATCCCAGCGAAATCACTGATCACAGCAGCTGCTTGCCTGTAGCTCCAACATCTTTTTACTTGATTCTCGAGTTAACCCTATTGCAATGTGGAAATGTCCATTTTAAACTTGACTGGGATCACAGTTAGCTGAAAGATCTAATGTTTATCGGAAGTATAGAGGTTCAACTCAAATCATCATTATAGTAGCAACAAGCCATGATAGTACCACTTCACTCTTTAAGATAGACAGACATTCATTTCTAAAATTTAAAATAGATTTAGGGACACAATATAAGCAGAAAATTTATGGAGAGATAAACCAAGAAGAAAACCAAACTACAAATGTAACTGATGCAACGCTATACCACAGCCAATCTGTAGCGACTCCAAATCGGTCGCTATAACTTTATAGCGACTGATGTATAAGTCGCTGTAAGTGACGTCGCTATAAGTTTATAGCAACCGACATGATTTATAGCGACCGATAGTTTGACGCAAATGTTTATACTGACCGATGATCTGTCACATGTTTTAGCGACCAATGGTTCGAGGATATCAAACTTTTTAGCGACCAATAATCAGTCGCAATGAACTGGCACAATTATGTATAATATTAATTTCATATTAACCAGATTTCAAACCTAATAAACATCCATAACATGTCACAGTATTCATCAACCACATACATATGTAAATCATAGCTGCCCACAACACTCATCAACCACATTACCAGATAAAAGTATCTCTCAAGTCTTCATTTAAGCCAACATTTAGGAATACATCAGGTTCTATCATCTTGATCCATGACAAGTCATCATTACAAAAGGAAAAGCACACATATAACCTAGCTAGGTCAAATGGCAGGCACATGTCATATGTTTGCTTGCACAATCTAACTAGATTCACTACAAAATGCCTCATCTCCATCTTATCAAAAGCAAAATATCATATGTGCCTTCCTAGTGAGCATCATGTACACCTCCAAGGCCTCCCTCAACCTGAAACATCAAGAAGGTAAGGACATACAGTAGCAACTGAAATATATAGACAATGAGACTGATGTTACTAATGCATTACATCTCATAACTATAACTAAAGCAAGCTGTTGGCCACTCAAGCAATGCCAAAGAACTGGACCAACAAGATGACGAACAGGTGCAAAAACAAATAAATGAAGCTAACACTCTGAATGTACACTAAATGCAGGTGCTTCAGGTGGACTAGAACAAAATTTCCACCTTGCTGCTCACGGGCAGCACCAAGTTTGTCTCCCCAATCGAGACATAAACATGCAGACTACACAGGCTTGTGCAGCGCAGCCAATTCAGGCATTCAGGCAGCAGCACCAAAGGAGCATATTGCTACGCACTCAAGGTAATAATCTTTCTTTCGAGGAAAAATGGTATTGTCTAGTTGGATATATATATATATTGACAGACTTGTACCTTATTTAATCTAGTTTCTAGAAATAAAAACTTGGTGCTAATGTTATCTGATTGATAGACCTGTACTATGGAAAGAAAAGCTTAGTATACTAACAGTTATATGATTTTAATTTTGAGGTGTGCTAATGTTGACGTACTGAAATGTACACTCCATTTTTTAGGGCTGTTAGGAGCGCATTGACTTAGGATCTCCGGATTACAGTTTCTTATCTGCAGAAGGTTCTTCATACAGCGAAGGGAAATGTTCAGGTGCAAAGTAAGAGAAGAATGCATAAACAGACATGTTTACTTGACAATACATGTGCATTGAGTCAAGTGACCAACAAGGCAACAACCATACAAATACTTTTAAGGATCAATCTATTCAGTGACCTAAGAATAACATAACTGAAACACCTTGAGGCTATTTTGATGCCTTCCTAACCGATTTTGATGCCTGTTGCTTAACCTTCAATTATCACAGATATCAGTAATTGTAAGTTTGATCATTTGTCATATATGAGAAAACAAGAAATGATGACAAGGATAGTTTATTACTCTGTTGTATGGCCATGCAATCGACAACCTATGAGCATCAGCCATCTTTTCCACACCAAGATAAGTGCGAGGCAGAGTTGCGTCCCTTTTCAGCACATGATTCACAACAACTTCACAATATTGCTTTCCAAGAGCTACACCTCCAATAATGGTTTTAGGATTTGTTGAAATAATTGTTCCCAGAACCACACGTGCATCGGATCTCACCACTTCATATAATATCACATTCATTCCAGGCTGGGGTTGCACTGGCTTTGCTTGTTTTGCTGCATCGGGTTGCACTTAACGGGCTGCATCGGGCTGGACTGCAGGAAGAACATTGCTGGGGATACACTGACGGGATGAGGTTGCATGGGGCTGCTCTTCATGTGCTGCACCGTGCTGGACTGTAGGGGCTGCATTGTTGGGGAAGCGGTGACTGGACAAGGGTGCATGGTGCTGCGCAACAGGGGCTGTATCGTTGGGGGTGCACTGATGGGGTGAGGTTGCATGGGTCTGCACTGTATGGGTTGCACTAGTGGGGCTATGTTGATGAAACTGCATAGTATGGGCTGCAAGACGCCTCCGTGCAAACTAATATTCACCCTCCTCGGGACATGCGTCATGGTCTTCATTATCTCCACAATCTTCATCTTCTTCGAAAAGAGCATCATGATGATGTGCATCAACATTTTCTGTAGACCTTGGGCTCTACAAACAAATGGAAGCAATAATGAGATAAATCTGCACAGGGTATTAAGAGGCCAAAATAACTAGCTGATGTATTGTTATAGTATTATACCATATGGTGGCGTGAATTAGAACCATTATGTGACATGACTTCCATAAAATTTTGCCTTTCCTCCTACCTTTTGTTTTGCTCTTCCAGTTCAGCTATGCGTTGTGCAGCTTCTTTACGGGCCAAAACTTCCATTTGAAATCTTGTAGATGGGTAACACTTCAATCCTGCTATACCAACATCTTGAGGAGTTGGTCCTAGACCCAAAGCTCACACACGCCCTCTTGGCTCCTTTGCACCACAAGCAGCAGCAAGTGCATCGCCCTGTTCAATTGTTCTTTCCTTCAACTCTGGGCGGGCTTCAACAATTTCTTTAAGTTTGTTCTACATGAATGGGAGATCAATGTTTACACACCATCATTATTAACTACCACAATTCAGCAAAAATGCATGAAAACTTACAATGATTGGTTCTGCATTCTGTGTAGGAACACCATTTTTTCTTGTATGAGTTTTGATATATACTTCATCTCGTCGAGGAGGGCGTCCTAGCTCATGACCCTACAAGTGTTTTAGCTTTTAGTATAAATAATCTGCAGAAAATACCTATGTAAGATAGTGAAAAAAGATAACTATACCAATTCATGTCTAGAACGAGCAAAGCTCCTGGTGCCTGATGTATGATGTATGGCCAACTTAGCACGATTTGCTTTAGCAATTTCCGTGCGAACCTAAGTGAGAAATTATTAGATTATGCACAAATAGATGTATACAAGTTCCACAAGCATATAATAAGATTTTAATATCAACAAGCCTTACTTCAAAGTCAGGAGACATCCAATGAGTTACAAGATACGCCCAATCACTGTCATTAACTCTATCACCATACATTTTCTTAAGTTGCTCATCTGTTAATTTGTCATCAAAATACTGTTTCTTCAAATTTGCCTTAAAGTCCTTCCATTTATTTCCAGCAGTTTTTAAAACCCAATTCTTTCCATCAGCATGAATATCATATTTAGCCTGATTTTTCCAAGGGAAAATACATAATCAGTTTCAATATAGATCACTGAAGTTTCAAAACAGCATGGTTTTGTAGCAGAGAACAGCCATTGCACATATTGTAGTACAAAGAGAACACTTATTTTTAACACCAATTGCAGTTTTCTAGTAGATAACACCATAAATTAAGATTACAGCTGAAAACTGAATGCATAACACCATAAATTACCTTTAGGTCGTTCCAAAGTGCACTCTTCTTGTTAACATCAACAAGCCTCCAATCAGAACACTGAACTGATATCTTCCTCACCAAACAACCAATAACACTAGCAAGCTCCCTAGAACGTGACCCTACAGGCTGACCATATTCATTAAGATTTATTTTCACTTTTGCCATATCAGGTGTCCTTGCAAATACTTCTTCTATTCTAGTGATACCCCTCCCTCCCCTTTTCTTGCGTGGACTAATATGAACATCTGTAGCAAGAAACTTTAAACATGAGAAACAACTAGAATGGCAAGATATGATTTTGCTGGAAGATATAACAAAAGACAAGGAATAATACCTTCGTTGGCACATAAAAAATCCCCAATTGGTTCACAATCCAGATCTTCATCAATCTCCTCATTTGCATTCTCAACAATTTCTTGGTGGCCTTGGGCGCAAATTATGGGCTTCCGTTTCAGCAACAACTGTGTGAGTTCTCTGCAAGTAACACGGTGGCATAATTAAATACTTGTCATGAAATATGCAAACACTAACAACAAAGTTCTTACAGAACCTTTTTCCTTGTCTTAGGTTGATCATTTTGCTCTTTTGTCATCCTAGGGATATTAAGAGATTGTAGCTTCGCATCAATAATTGTAATGTTTGCATTCCTCTGCTGTTCATACACGTTGAGAGGGGCACAAGTATTGTTTTTTCTAGCGCTTGCCATTTTTCCTCCTAAAAAATGACAAACAAATCAACAATCACTGGGAAACAAATAAATCGTTAATTTTTGCAAGCAACCATTAGGAAAATTATAGCAGCAATACAATTTAAACAATACTTACTTTCTAGATCCATTTTTAGATTTTTTTTATCAACAATTACACCATCTATGTCAGTTCTAACAGAAGGGATAACCCCATTAATAATATCCACAGTCACAGTGCCACTTAGATCAGTCACAGAAGGCATAACCTGTCCATTATCATTATCGGTATGTTCAATCTCCAAATTATCCAAGTTATATGAACCACTAGGTATTGATTGAACAGCAGCAGCCCACTCAGTATCAACCTGATCAGGAACGTAGTATACTTGAAGTGCTTGTGAAGCTAGAATGAAACGTTCATCTGATATCTTTTCACCTGTATTGAATAAATGCTTAAAGTTGACACTTGTGGCCCCAAATTGATCAGTTTTTACCTATTTATCCTGCACACGGTTATCAACCCAATCACGCATGAAAAGCACCACATTTCCTTTGTGTTGGTAGTTCAGTTCAAGAATTTCCTTTATAACACCATAATCTGATCATTATTGCCCCTCTCAAAGCTTGCTGACTCTGCAACTACAGCAACCCCACTATTCTGAACAGCTCTACCCTCATCATAGGATTTTGTGTGGAACTTCATTCCACTTATGGTATAGCTACTATATTTCTATGCAGTCATCATTGGCCCCTTCGCCAATATAGCGACCGATGATTTGTTACAAATTTATAGCGACCGATTGTTGGACGTTAATACTATGTTTTAGCAACGTTGTCCGACGCTACAGATTGGTTGTGGTATAATGCAATCTCAGTGTCAAGACTCAAGAACAATTCAATTGTAAGAAAAAAAAATGAAGAATTCATGTACATTGTCTCACCCTGGATGGTCATCTCTACAATTGAACAACCCAGTAACCGACCAATGCTCTAGTGAGTAGTACATTAAACATAATATAGCAACATGCCCAGAAGTTGCGGTAATATTTAGCTATTGTGGAAGGCATACCACCCTATGTACAGCGTGTCCTATCAGAAGAGCGCGTAACTTTTTTTTTTTACTTTGAGAGGGCTAACTAGCTAACTGCTAAGCATAACATGCTTTTCAGCATGATCTAAATACCTCTTTTGTTACCGTAACCATCATCAACAACCTTAGGTAACCATTGCACAGTTTCAGCCCAAGAGTAAGTCTACAAGGTCTGCAAGCTTATCGCCACCAGTCTAACATCAAAACAAACCATTCAATTTCAGCATAGCAAACCAAAGTGCTGTAGTCATCTGATGAATTAGTATGCCATTATAAGAAACATCAGGTTGGTTAACTCACAGGCAGCTTCTTGACAGCCAACCCATCCGTGTTGAAATGCTATTCCTTATCAGCATTGACTAAGAGCACTTGTAATAACAAGGGCAAAGGTTAAAACTAATGATTCTTGCCCTATTGCAGATAATGCCAATTAATAGCTGCAGATTCAACAGCATGTAGGAGAAAAGTCAGGGAGCTGCATTGGGATGGCCTACAGTAGCAGCTGAAGAAAGGATTTGATACTTGCAATAAATGAAAGCACTTATCTCAATGGTTAAACTTAAAAATTCAGTGATCACAGGGAGAATACTCATTCCAAAATGTATTTGGACATGCAAATGTATTGAGAAAGAAGAGAATAAAACCAAGCTACATAATCGAATTTCAGGGCCAAGCGAACAATTTGACAAAAATGTAAGCAAACTTTGCTGCATTGCCTCACTCTAACCAAGAACAGTCATCTCAGCTACTGAACCTGCTAATGAGGTAGTACCAGTATAAGTCAATAATACTCCAAATTTTGTTCCAAAAAGAAAGACACTATAGCCTAACATGCAGGTCCCACCTAAGTACTCTCTGGTCCAACCAAACCATCCATCTGAATTTCCATCCACTTTTTGTATGGTTATTTTGATCATTCGCCAATAGCATTGATCTATCCCCCAACTTCTACATTGATTTTATTTGTGGGATCACAGAAATTGATTTTATTTGTGGGATCACAGAAATTGTAGATACACGGTAGTTACTGTGGCAGGTTTCCGATCCAAGAGTGAATCCAACTTTCTCTCAAGTATAACATGGCACCCTTAGTTACGATCCAAGAGTGAATCCAACAAGTACAGCAAGAAAATTCACACAAGCATCACATAAAAGCAAGCCAATCAGCATTTCTTCTAAAAAAGAGCAAACCAATCAGCATAGTAAACTGTAACGCTAGACTCTCTCTACCAATATGAGAACGATCACTTGTAGCTTCTTGATAGCCGGCATTTCCCTGTTGAGACGCAATTATTTAAATTAGCCACGCTACCTGTCTTAGTAAGGCCGCACGAGGGGGCAAGGCGGCAAAGCCAAAGGCCAGTTCATAACTGTCGGACTGTTGCAGATAGTATCAGTGAAACGCCACTGCAGATTCAAATTTGACAGCACATATTTGTTCCAGAAGAAAAGGTTAGGATCCACACTTGGCTTGCCCGAAAATATGAAGCGTGCATCTAAATGCCTAAACTTAAACATCTCAGTGGTTACTGGCGACAACACAAGGGATATGCAGGTGAATGATCCACAGTTAAATCATGTTCAGAAGCACACGGACACCAACTCATACAGTAACCGCCATGGCATTTCTCTGTTACATGGGTCAGCCAGCGAATCAACAAGGACGGGACAATCCAGCGCATCCATTCCAACACCAGGTATGTATACCCAAGACAGTGAAGCTTTGTGAAGAATCGCGCGGTCACAGCAGTACAGCGGCGGGAATGCATATGCACCCTCCAATCAAAAGATGCCGCTTCGCTTGGACCTCCAAAATCCCCTGAAAAAACCTTCGCCAAATCTCACGCGCTAGAATGAGCTGCGCTTACCAAATAGCCACAAGCCCACAACGAACCGATCGGCCGCGTACTCGCGGGCGACTCGTGCATCCGATTCGAATCGCAACTGCATGCGAGACCACAACTCGATGGAACGGAAATTCACCAGAGTCAGGGTGTTAAGGAGGGAGAGGGGGTACCTGCGCCCGCGCGCGATGAAGCAGGGACGGACGAACTAGGGTTTGGAAGCGCGGGGGGAATGAGGCGGCAAGGGACGGGGGTCAGGGAGAATGGAAGGAAGACGCGGCGGGAGTTTTCGCGGGCTTCCTCCTTTCCTTCCGCGACAAGGACGACGGCTTCCCCATTTTTTCACTGACAAGTGGACCCGGAGAACCTCGCGCCACGACTGACAAAAGAGGGACGTTCACGTTCGAACGCTCTCAAATGTGTGGGCCCTCTCAATTCCTCTTGTTTGTCAACAAGTTTTGAAGGCTCTGTTTCAAATTCAAAATATAGGACGCGTGACTAGCACTTATTTCAAATTTATCCTATAAAAAAATATTTCAAATTTATACATGTTTTGCCACAGATTTTTCTAATTTATCCTATAAAAAAATTATTTCAAATTTATACATGTTTTGCCACAGCTTTTTTTGGGTACAAAACTGATCCCATTTCAAATCTATACATGTTTTTCCACAGATTTTTTTTTGTACAAAACTGATCCGATAGCAATTTACTGACATATTATAAAAAGTGTAATTGATGGTCACAAAATAAATACTTCTATACTGACTTTCCCAATACTAATACTGTCTTTTAAAAACAGACTTTTCAGATCCTAATCCATCTTTTAAAAACAGACAGACGTTGTTAATCAAATCAAAAAGCTTGGAAAATATGTAATGCTCCCCGAGACGGCTCCAGGATACCAGTTTCAAGATCAGTTTCGAAACTTTCGATGCAGCACAAACTCATGTATTGCCAGACACATTTTAAATTCGTGTTTTAGTCGTGTGCAAACTGCATTCAACATAACAGCAATCAGTTACAAAATCTCTTAGCAATTTCTGCTTGATCTGGCTGCAGTTTGTCTCCAGTCTACATCACAAATTTGGGCTACAGATCCTCCACTTATTTTCGCCTTTTGGTTCGTACAACTCACTATTTTTTTTATCTGAAAACTACCTCGACCCGACTTCTCGCCTACCAAAAAATAATGGTGATCACCTTCGTCCCATGGGGCAACTGCGGCTTGGACATATCATCTCATCAGTATCCATAGCCTGGGCATGGCAGACACAGCAAACGGTTAGAACATGCAACGGATGTGGAAAGAACTAGCATCAATGGCAGTATCAGTTACCAGAGTTGTCCATTGGGTTAGCGAGGGGCGTGGCCTCCGGCTCCTTGATGTCGACGACCACGACATCTGATGTCAGGAAGGTCTTGGCTACCGACGCGGCGTGCTCCAAGCAGCATCTCACCACCTGCGACAGTTCATGGCGGTTTGAGGTTTTGTTCCTCTAAAAGAAGTTACCAAAGACCAGTTGGGAAAAGAGATGTAACAATCATAGCACCAACATCGTGCAAGGACTGCTGTTTTCAGTTTTACCGGCTATTGCTGCTACTTTACCTTTGGCAGTTCTCAAGTTCTTTTAGATCCATTTGAGGTTAGGTTACATTAAAGAATTGTGCTATGAGCTAAAGGTAATGAACTCGACAAATTGGTTATGGCAATGAAGAACAAAGGTAGGGAACAAGCATTGATGACTGAAGTTGCAAGATCAACCAACTACTAGTATTCCAGCAGACAGATAGGAAAGCCATAGGGCTAGGGCCACAAACCTTGGTGGGGTCAATGATACCAGCAGCCATCAAGTCCTCGTACTGTCCAGTAGCAGCATTGTAACCATACTTGAAGTTATCGTTAGAAAGGACCTGGTGCAGCAAACATTTTACATAAGATTCAGATCCATGCCGTGAACTCATGCGTGAGATTTTCGGCAAACAAACTGTACCTTCTCAGTGACAACACTGCCATTGACACCAGCGTTTTTAGCAATCAATTTAAGTGGGTAGCTCAGGGCCCTCCTTACTATTTCAGCTCCAACCTAATGACAGTTCAGCATGTCAGTTCGGAATGCCCAATGGTTCAAGTATAGCAAGGCTGTGCTCTGTAGCCTCCTCCTTCAAATGAATTAAGGGATTACTGATTATGTTTTCACCTTCTGCTCATCGTTCTCCAGTGTATCCTTGATGGCATCGACTTTAGCTGCAAGCCGCAAAAGAGTGCACCCTCCACCAACAACAATACCTTCCTCGACAGCAGCCTGTGAAGAGAAAGAAGCAATTTTAGTGATATGTAACCAAAAGAAAAATCGGCAGAAAATGCAGAATGCTTCAGGAAAGAATATGGACTAATTCTTACTTCCTCCAAGGCTCCAATCACAAATATAAGCCCATCTAGGTCTTTTGTAAGTAAACTATCTAAACATTAACCATGGTCCATATAATATCAAAAAATAGATTGACAACAAAATTCGTCTATCGTGAAAACTACTTTTTCAATGTATGTTTTTTTTTTCAATTCAAGATTATATATTATTATACGTTTTGCCTGTCAAAGTTAGAAAGGTTGGACTTAGAACAAACCTAGATCAGAGGAAGTATTCCTCATGAAACAAATACAAATCTGGCAGCACAAAATGGTTAATAACTCTGACAACTTACCTTAGTTGCATTTAGCGCATCCTCAACTCTCAACTTCTTCTCTTTTAGTTCAGTTTCTGTTTGTGCTCCCACCTGTCAGGCAACACCAGACATGAATTACAGCTATCCACCATACTTACAACACTGAATCGATGATAATAACGTTGAACAAATAACACAAACTTTGCGATCCATGTACTTGATAATACCTGAATGACAGCAACACCACCAGCAAGCTTTGCTATCCTCTCATTGAGTTTTTCCTTTTCGTATTCTTGTTCTGCTGCCTGCAAATTAGGTTGATAAAAACAGAGTTTCAGACTTTCACCTGAGCAGTAAGTCAAATGAGCAAAGAGAACAGGAAAAGGTCAGACCTCAATCAGATTTTTAATCTGCGCAACCCTTTTAGTCACTTCTTCCTGGGTGCTGCCGTCACCAACAATTGTTGTCGACTCTTTGGTAAGAACAACCTTTGCAGCTGTTCCAAGGACTGATTTGTCAGCCTTGTCAAGCGACAGCCCAACTTCATCTCTGATTACAGTTGCTGCAGACACGAAGAATGCTTATAAATAAGGAGCATAGATGATCATAAGGATGCTCTAGAACAGAAGTTTAGCTGACCTCCAGTAAGGATGGCAATATCATCCAAGTACTGAGTCTTGCGCTCTCCAAAACCAGGGGCTTTGATGGCAGCAATCTTCAATGATCCTCTAAGCTTGTTGACAACAAGGGTAGCAAGAGCCTCCTGCTCAATATCCTCAGCAATTATCAGGATTGGGTATGCACCTCTGATGGCTTCTTCCAAAACGTTGATAAGATCCCTTGCGTTGGTGATCTTCTTGTCAACCAAAAGCAGCTGAACAATGAAGATGAAAGACAGTAGCATTAATAGTCTGAAACAGGAAAGCAATAAACAGCAAAAAAATCAAATTGATATCTCAGATTTCCCATGTTACCTTGCAGTTCTCGTACTCGACAGACATTTTCTCACTGTCTGTTACAAAGTACGGAGAGATATAACCACGGTCAAACTGCATTCCCTCCACAACATAGAGAAAGTTCTCAGAACTCCTCCCCTCTTCAAGGGTAACCACACCCTTCCGACCAACCTTGCTCATGGCCTCTGCTATCATGTTACCGATTTCATAGTTGTTGCCAGCACTAACTGCAGCAACATCTGCAAGCTCGCTATCTTCAACATCCTTAGACAACTTACGTAGTTCTTCAACTAGTGCTTTCGCTGTTTTCTCGATACCACGAGTAATCTGGACAGGATTAGCACCAGCTGCCACAACCTGGAAAAGAGAGTATTTAGCTTCGAAAACAATAATTCAACATTCAATACAAGTAGCAACAAATTTCAGCTAGTGGCACACCTTAACACCCTCAGCAATCAGTCCCTGAGCAAGGACCACGGAGGTGGTTGTCCCATCTCCAGCTAGATCATTGGTCTTAGCTGCAGCTTGCCTGACCAATTTAGCTCCAATGTTTTCCACAGGGTCCTCCAGCTCAACCTACAGAATAACAATTATTACTTAAGTGCAACATGAACTAAAAAAAAATGATACTACTAGCATGATGACCCATAAACCTTCAGAACAGACTCAATTCATTAACAAAAATCAATATTTTTGCAACAATCATTATGACATTATGGTAAAAATTAAATGGTGCATCATCAATATTGTATATACAACATTTAACAAGTATATGTTTCTGTTGATCTTCTAAAGTTTATGCATTAAATGGGTCATAAGAACATGACCTGCAAAACACATATGACAAGAATGAAAAAAATTGACAGCGTTATGTAATTTACCAGCTAGCAAGAAAATTCTAGGTGCAACCATGATAACATTGCACTGTACCTCTCTTGCAACTGTAACACCATCGTTAACAATCCTAGGAGAGCCATACTTGCTCTCCAAAACGACATTCCTTCCCTTTGGTCCGAGTGTAACTCCAACTAGGTCTGCAAGCTTATTGACTCCAGTCTGAAATATAGAGAAAACCGATTAGCGCCTGGTTAAGGGTCAACAGCACATTGTCATATCATAAATAAAAAGAGCGCCAGATGATAAATGTGAAGCTCACCTGGAGCTTCTTGATAGCTGAGCCATCCTTGTTGAAGTACAGCTCCTTGGCTGCTTTTACTCTGAAGTTAGTCCTCCTCTGAAGGCGCACATTCTTCCCTGTTGGAGCAGCCATAAGGCCAACTGTAGAAGTGGCACCGAATGTCGAAGCCATGTCTACATGTGCAGCAGGAGTCACATTAGCATGAGAAAACAATTGAAGCAAACATATAATCCATAACCTGACCATGTCGCAAGCATGAACTAACAGAAGCACATTTTTTTTATTTACTGAACAATAGAACGCAGCATCCTTTGCCTTCACTGCATGTAATGAGGTATCAATACCTAACCAAATTGCATGGTGTATTACACACTGCTGCGGACAGACGCTACCTCTGATGCAAATGGAAAGGACACACACACATACACACTGACGCACATGACCACAGAACTTCAAATTCAGATGCTATTCACACACTCCAGCAATTTTGCCAACTTGTGTAACAATTTAATGGTAGCCTAACATACATACATACAATTGCTGGAATTTTCGTTCATGTACATATACAGTGTCAGACAAATGGAACAGGTGAATCCCAATGCGCCCCACCAACAGTCAATCCACTTGAACCGTAGAAACATCTAAAACGCCATGTTTTAGAATTGAAACCAATGTGCCAATTCCATCAAGCTAACAACAGCAGCACGTCGCACGAGTACAGACCCCGCGAGATTCACGAGCCCCAAGCCCCCAACTGCCCACAGCATTCGGGTGAAACTAGCTCTAGACAGCAACACCCCCATCCCCATCCCAAACCTACTCGCCACCAATCCAATCTATCTATCTACACGGACGAACACGAACCACCTCGCGACGAAACCCATGACCCACCGAACTGGAGCTGCGCGGGAATCCAGTTCCAGCTCCACCGAATCATCAGACCACGGCAGCTAAACCCCGCCGAGAGCGCGGAGGGGCCTCGAGTTAGAGGGGGCGGGGAAGGAGCGCGGTAGCTCGGGCTGGGGACTCACCTTGCCGCGCTTGCGGATGGATTGGAGCCGGGGGATCGCGGAGGCGGAGGAGAGGATAAGGCTGGCGGCCTCGGGAGGGTCTCGGGTTGGGGTCGCAGCTGCGTGTTGCGAGGGGCGGGGTAGAGCGGAAGGGATGAGGTGTTAAATAACATACCGCGCCAGGGTTTAGCAGGGGCGCAGCAGCCTCGACCGCTGTGGAAGTGTCTAGAAGCGAAGCAGCACCACAATGCGTTTTTCTTTCTTTGATTGATTGAATGGGCCAAGATGAAGGTATGGCCTGCCTGCTCACTAACTAATAATAGTAAAGCTTGGGCCTGGGCTGGGCTGAGAAGCTACAGACGGAGACATAAAATAAAATTAAAAAAGAAAAAAAAAAGTAAGCGCCGTTGCCGGGGATCGAACCCGGGTCACCCGCGTGACAGGCGGGAATACTCACCACTATACTACAACGACCTGGATGGCTATGAGTAGATATCTAATTTAATTCCTTCGTTTGAGATTGTGCGAAGCCAACAGCTCGAAAGCTAGCATTGACTACCAAAATCATTTGTTTTTAGTTGGCCTTGCCATTATTATTATTTTAGTTGGGCAAGAATTGGAAGTCAAACAAGCATGCCCTATAAGTTGTGTTTTTATGTGTTTAAGTTCCAATCTGTTTGAAACCGATACACAAGTGCATTTGTTTTTTGGACAATGTAGTTTATGAAAAATATGACTATGTTATATTTTATAGATACATAGACGTGTACTAGAGTCAAAGTAGCAGCTAGGTTTTAAAAACCACTAACTTCAAAAGACTTAAGAGCACAAAAAATTTATGATTAGAGTAGTATGTGCCAAACTTGTTTTTACACTACCTTTTTAATATACATAGAGGACAGTGTTTGTGTGCGTGTAGGAGTCACGAAGTGGCGTGCATGTCACTAGAGTGAGCTCTATTATAACAACCTGGAACTAGTGATATGACGACACCAGAACTAGATCTACATTGATGGTCGACTAGCATATCAGAATCTAAATGTATTACATTTGGGATTTGTGTTTTTTGTTTGTTCACGATAATTCTCAATAACTTTTACTAAAATTTGTGATCCTAGAGTATTTATATTTATCCAATTTCAATGAAATTTAGGCAACCATGCCCGTGTTTTCTTCTGAATTTTAACATAGTTTTCTCCCAAATTCTTTCTTACTTCATGTCCAAGCTCCTATAACAGCTTGATGTGTACAAATTCAAGAAACTAGTTGCACCTTATTAGGACATTATGCAATTTTGCTTTAAACTCTCGGATCATTTTGCAATAAAGATGTCGATTTTGTAGTAAGCACTATAACGAATCACTGACAAGATATAATATAAGTAAACATATCCTGACATACTTGTAATTAACATTCGATTTTGTTGTGACAGTTACTAGCTAGCCTGAATAGATATTTATTACTTGGAGTTTGAAACTACAAATCCATGAGGACAAGCCACAACTATGTTTTCTTTTATCGCTGTATGTCACCACAACTATATATTGGCCTTGAAAATAGGCTTGTAGATGAAGACACCATGGTCAAACCATATAGGCTAAGCGTAGCTAATTAGATTTGGGCTAAAAGGCCGTCTGAGAGGAAGAATCACAGTGGCGCCTAAACCGTGGCTAAGCACAACCAAAATTGAGCCTCGCTCTAAATGAGCAAGAACTCAAATATAAACGGGCCGACATATGGGCATTTGACACAAACAACTAGGTTATAATGAAAAGTAGACCCCATTCCCGGCGATGATCTTCAGAGTTATTAAGATCGGTGCATGCAGTGCAGAGCAGAGCAATGCAAGTAGAGAGAGACTAGCATGTAAAATGCATGTAAGAGACGGACGGACGGAACCACAAGCCAATCAGTACTTGATGGAGACTGGAGAGGGATCACCAATGCAACATACACACCTCGGCGGAGACGATCAAGTATAGTCAGGAAGATGAAACAGGGGAGCAGCACCGCCACCTGGTTCTTGGTGGCTATACCGTTCATCTGCTGTGCGGCGGATCAGAGGCCGGACAGCCGGGGAGATTTGAGGGACACACCATCGCCGGACGGGGATGGAGGACTATAGGAGGTGAGGGATGGATCATAGGAAGGAGGTGTTTTACTGATGGACCTCTACATCTACACGAATGAGGGCATATTCTTTCTTTAAAAAACTAGAATTTGAGTGGGGGCACACGCCCCCGCTCTTGCTGACGACGACGACGACTCCGCGCTCGGCTAGTGCATGATGAACGTGCGCATACTGTCATCGCTGTGGGCGGGGCTGTCGCCGCTGCTGCTAGCAGCGCGGAGGCCACCGAGCTCCACCTCCAGCTGGTACCGACGACGACGAGCACTGTGACGACGGCGACTGCGATTGCAGCTCCGACTATGGTGACGACTTTATCTTCCTTCGTGAATGCTGCGCTGGTACTATCTTGATCTTGCATATGCATAGATGCCGCCGGAGCTGGTGCCTCCATCTCCCGCATCCTCTCCCTCTCCTCGGCGTGTGCTCGTGCTTGCCTCCTAGCTTAGCTCTGAGAAAGCAGTGTGCTATTATAGAGGAGCATGCACTGTACTACACGTGATCACTCGCTATATTGACAACTATATTTATCACCCCAGCCAGCTAGATCTCTTAGTGCTCGAGAAAATCATGGTTGTGGGATACCAAACTTATGAATAGAGGCAAATTGGAATGAAAAAATTGATTAGTGCTAATTAGAATATAGTGTTCCTAGCTTGTTAATATGAGTAGTAAATACTGCATCCATTTTCTTTTCTGACCGTATTTTATTTAGTTAGGACAAATATATATGATTCGTCTATTAACATTTCATTTACATGATATGTGATCCAAAAGTATAGTCATATGCAAGTATTTTCTTAATACGGGCCTATTAACACCAATTTTGTGTCACATAAATTATGTTAGCTAATCTACTGCCACCTTGTGTGAAACATTTCTAGGAAATTTATGTTTGCCCCCCTAGTATTTGAGTGGAGTCACGAGGTGCAAAGCCGCATGGCTCACCTGCAACAACATCTGTGAGGCACATCTTGGCCTTGCAGAGTCAGCCCTACCATATACTTATCTAGTTATTTATTACGCATGTGCTATATTTTACTTAGATAGATAGAGTTGTATAAATAGGGCACCAAGGCAACTCTTTCTTGCGGAGAGCTCAGATTGCCATCACACGACGGGGCATTGGCCAACGTTGTTGTCTTGTATTGTGTATGTTTGCTCTGCTCTCCTTCTTCTTCTAGCTCGATCCATAGTGTGTGGGTGCAGACACAACCGGAGATAGTGGTCTGGGAGACTAGTGGTGCAGTGCAAGACTGATAATCAGGAGACTAGTGGTCCAGTGCAGGAGACTAGTGGTGGGAGACTAGTGGTGCGGAGACTAGTTCACTATCGCTGATCCCGTGGGCCAACAAGTGGTATCGAGCCATCCCGTCGTCATTCTAACCGATGGCGAGGGCGGGACTCTGGAGTTGGGCGATGGCGGTGTCCCCATAGCGCCCAAACCACTCCGGAGGTAGTTGTCCGCCGCAAGGGAGGTCGGCCGGCACCACTTGGCCCACCGACTCGCACTAACTATGGAGAGTAGTCGGTAACCATGAAGGTCAAGCTTGGAGCTCGGCGGCTCGGAATGTCGTTGACAAGGGCACCGACATGGAAGAAGACGACATGTCGGCTGAGGCTATCCTCATGCTATCTGCGTGAGTATAATGAACCGTTGGGGACGAAGAGATCAGCTAAGGAGGCGTGGGAGGCCATTGCGGCGATGCGCGTCGGTTTCGACCAAGCGCTCCTCCCATCATTCTGTGAGTATGCAAACCTCAAGTTCAAGGATGGTGAAATGATAGGACTTTTTCCTCACTTTTTACAACTCATCGTTTTCAAGAGCTACGGCCACCATCGACGAAGAGGAGGCGGTCTCTAAATTCCTCCACTCCGTCTGCAATTGCAAAGTATATCCACATCGCTCTCTCCATAGAGACGATGCTGCACTTGTCCACCCTCACCATCGAGGATGTGGCGGGCCGTCTGCATAGTTTGGATCGAGCGCCTAGAGCAGGCGATAGTAACGAAGGACAGCGGGAAACTCCTGC